ACCTTCATCACAGAGAAGCTAGAACAAACCTTGGAGGTTGACAGTGTAACAAGTCACCTTCGCTTGTCAATAGTGCATCAAGAGAATGAAATAGTTGAGTGCAAGAAGGTTCAAGGTCTTGTTGTTACAGATCTAAAACGCCAAGTACACATTCCGTTGCCAAGGTTCTACACAAGAGAAGCTACTCCATACAAGCCCCAGCAAATTCCAAAGCCAGAAGTCGCCATGCAATGGGACCATCTAAACTGTATTGCTGAAGAACTTATGCCATATAGAGAAGATGTACAGGTCGGAATGTTGATTGGAACTAACTGCACAAAGGCTATCAAACCGCGTGAAGTGATTCCTGGAGGAGAATGACCCATAAGGCATTAAGACCGATCTTGGTCGGGGCATTGTTGGAAGAGTTTGCAAGTCTCCCCCAGATGAAGACTCTGAGGAACTGTCAGAAAGCTGGGTCAACAAGATTGTAATCAATGAAGATGCAATGTTTACTGTGGAGTCCTGAGCAAAGGAAATCATTTGCCCAGCTCATGTGAAGGAGATGTTCGAAAGAGACTTTCACGAAAGAGCAGAACAGAAGAACCCATCTACCCTGTCCTGGATAAAGGAATCTGCCAAAGAGAAGATGGACACTACGAAATGCCATTGCCCTTGCGCTCTCAGGTTGTTATGTTGCCAAACAGTCGATCACAAGCATTAAGAAGCCTGTCTCAACTGAAAGCACGATTCAGAAGAGATGCGAAGTACTACAGAGACTATGTTGAATTCATGGAAGAGATGATTAAAGAATGTGCAGAAAGGGCTTCCCCTCAAGACGAAACTGGTATCAAGATTGGGGATCGCAAGATTAACTATGTTCCACATCACGGAGAAAGCCTGGCCAAATAAGAGTAGTCTTTGACTGCAGTGCACAATACAAAGGAACATCCCTGAATAAGAACTTGCTCCAAGGGCCCGATTTGACAAATAATATAATGGGTGTCCTCTGCCGGTTCCTCCTCGGATTCTTTTGCTGGAGTCACGGTGATTTGAAGAATGAAGCAGAAGAGTATCGCATGAAAGTACACTTGTTCGGTGCAGCTTCTTGGCCAGGATGTGCAAATTTTGCCTTCAAAAGAGCTGCCGATGATGGAGAGGAGGAGTTCGATTCAGAAGCTGCAGACTTCATGAGAAGAGACTTTGACGTTGATGATGGACTGAAGTCTGTAAAATGTGTTGACACGGCCGTCAACCTCATTAAGAACTGTCAAGCCATGTGTGCAAAAGCAGGCCTTAGGTTGCATAAGTTTAGCAGCAACAAGAAAGAAGTTATACAAGCCGTTCCACCTGAAGATCGCGCAAAAGGACTTCAGGAGCTAGACCTGACGAGAGATCCCTTGCCAATTGAGCGAACACTTGACATAATGTGGTGCACACAGACTGACAGCTTCCAATTCCGCATAGTTATCCAAGACCGTCCACTTACAAGAGGAGGTATCTTATCTACATCAATTTCAGTCTATGATCCCTTTGGGCTTGTAGCCCCCTTGATCCTTCTTGGCAAACAGATATTACAAGACCTGTGTCGGGAAAGTGCTGGCCGGGACGACCTGATCAGTAATCAGCTAAGACCACGGTGGGAGCAATGGCGAGATGAGTTGCGACTCCTAGAAGATCTCAAGATTCCAAGATGCTACAAACCTGAAGAATTTGGAGACCCTAAGGTAGTCGAACTGCACCACTTTTCAGATGCGAGTCAAGCAGGCTACGGTCAGTGCAGCTATCTGCGTCTATTGAACGAAAGTGATCAAGCCCATTGTTCCTTGGTTGTGGGAAAGTCCCGCGTCACGCCATTAAAGTCAGTAACCATCCCACGCTTAGAGTTGACAGCTGCCGTCGTGTCAGTCAGAGTGAGTCAGTGGCTTGGCCATGAGCTTGATTACCAAGATGTTACT